AAATTTTGGTATATAATGTATTGACTGAGTCGATACGAAGCCAAATAGAGTCAATACATTGAAGACAGTAGCCAATTTGTTAAAAAATATTTCAGGATGAGTTAACTCCAAACACGGGAGAGTCGGCCCATTTGCTCAATGTATCGACCCCTTCCTTCAGTGTATCGATACATTGAAGGCAGAGGCAAATCCTTGAAAACACCTTTTAGATGGAATCGACTCCAACCAAGAATGAGTCGACCTAGTTTCAGGATGTATCAACCCATTTCTCCTATGTATCAATACATTAGAGGCAGATTCAAATTCTTTGAAAATCAACTCAGTATGTATCGACCCATGCATGAATTTTTATGAAAAACTCACATATTTGGCATGTGATGGCATATGTAATCTAATTTTACATGTCCGATGCACTTCTAGACAAAAACTATAAGGTCCAACATACACAAAAATATACGCTACCTAATTTTGACATCATACAAAACTCATCTAAGAGAATATTGCACTCACAATTATGGGATTGACATGTCAAAAAATTTGAAATAGAAAGTGAGAGAAAGTTGGACTCACAATTATGGGATTGACATGTCAAAAAATTTGAAATAGAAAGTGAGAGAAAGTTGGAGATGAGCTGGACCAAACCATTAATCTCTTTTCATTTTTATTTATTTTATTTTATGTTATTTTATTTTTATTATTGTTATTTTGTTTTTAGTATGGTTATAGTTTTTATTTATTTGAATGGGCCTTGGGTCCTTCTATCTTAGTAGCACCCCATTTATTGCATGCATCCGTCTTGTGTTGTTATTTTTTTTTTATTTTTTATTTTTTATTAGTTTAATTATTTAAATTAAAAATTAATTAATTAGTTAATTAATTAATTTTTAATGATTATTTGATTATATTTTAATTAATTAATTAATTTTAATTGTTAAGTAGTTTACTTATTTATTTGTTTGATTTGATGTGTTAAGTCGATTAAGTAGGTAATCCCCGTTCATATCATCACCTATGTAAACAATCACACTCGATATTTAGCGCAAATTCAATTCTGTCGCATTTCCCACCATTTTACAAATCATTTTCAAACTAATGCGAATAAACACTCGATCAAAACCGAGTTTCTTTTCCACTTACTTGAAGCGTTTAAAACCTTTTTTCTTAATTAAACCCGGTTGAAAAAGGAATGAGGAATTTACACTTTCTTGCTCCTCAAATGGTCGAATGGTTGGTGTTAGAACAATATTTTTTCATGAAATATATTCCTTGGGTTTTGATGATAAAAAAGTATTAAAATAAAAATGGTTATATTTGATGTGTGTTTCATGTATGCAGGTTCTAATACTTATAGATATATATTCAGAATCTGATATACAAGGGCACACTTAAGAGAAGTTGAATTGCTAGCTTCTAGTGGTGCAGAATCTGAAGAACACTCTTTAAGTGATGTTTGGCGTAGACTCTAAAGCTGAAGAACTTAACATCAAAAGAAGAAACATAATTGTCTCTACACTTGATGAATGTATATTGGCTTCTGGTGGTCATTCAGAGTTAGTGATAAGACTGAAGCTATTCGTACTGCAGAAAGCAAGCTGCATTGTCAAATCAGTTTGTCAGCTAAAGTCTTAGTTCATAAGGCTCAAGAAAAGTTGGCATACTTTATGGCTAGCTACTCTCAGAAGCTCTATAGTACAAGATCTCTTTGAAGACTCAATGGTTAAACACGTTACACAATGAATCAATATCTTTTGGTGTATCTATCTTCAATGTCTCTTGTACTATGGAGAAAGCAAAGACACTTGATCAAGTTATCTCTCCAACGACTAGTCTTCTATAAATGCTATATAAGTAGTTGAAGGTTCAAATTGAATCTTTAACAAGGATCAACCTGATGGAGGAGTAACAAGATCATCAATTATCAAAATAATCGAGTATATATAATTTCTGTTGTAGGTTGTAATTGTAAAAGCCTTATTATTTTTTAAACATTGGATATCTTAAAAATATTAAGAGCTTTAGATATTTTTTATGGTGATTTCCCTGTACCTCTAATATTTGTATCAAGTACACCTTGTTCTCTATTCTTCTGAACATGTTGTTTAGCAATTTAGATTAAGTCTCTCGTCAAGATACTTGAGTCATGTAAGTCTCCTGCTATGTGCTGGAGCATTGAAAGTCTTAATAAAATGGATTGATTGAGAAACTTAGTCTCTCGCCAAGATGTTTGAGCCATGTAAGTCTCTTGATATATACTAGAGCAATGAAAGACTTAATCAAGTAGATTGATTGAGCATAAGTCTTAAATCCATGAGATTGAAGCAAGGAAGTCTCAGATCGAGGGTCTGAGCAGAATTCTTGAACCTGAAGGGTTTAAGCAGGAAGTCTTGGGTTCGTAGAACCTGAGCAGGGAAATCTTGGACCGTGGGTCTGGCCAAAAAAGTCTTGGGCCTGAGGGGCTTGAGCAGGAAGTCTCGGGTCTGAGGGACCTGAGCAGAAAAGTCTTAGGCTGATGGTCTAAGCAAGAAAGTCTTGAGTCTGTAGGACTTAAGCAAGGAAATCTTGAGCCTTAGGGGTTTAAGCAAGAAGTCTTAAACTTAGGGTCTGAGCATTGTAAAAGTCTTATGCAGAATGCATAAGCGATTAATCATGATTTTATTATAGTTAAAATCTCTTGTGAATCAAGGGGACTGGACTACTCTCATTTGGGAGGAACCAATATAAACTTTTGTGTGTTCTGCTATTATTTATTTGCTTCAGTTAACATTCTGTTGCTAAGTATAACCAGAATCTGAACACCAGTTTAGATTCTGAACTCTAATCAGACGCAAATTAAGAAAATGAAAGATACAATTCAACCCCCTTCTTGTGTACTTTTCTCACCTTCAATTGACGTATGCCATATTACTCGATCTTTTGTCATTCGAATAAAATATTTTAATCAAACTTGGTTGAAAAAAGAATGGGTGGGGGGGATTACATTTTCATGCTCCTCGAATAATTAAGTGGCTGGCGTACGCCATATTGCTCGAGTAATCGTCTTCCTCTAATAATTTGCACAAATAACTTGGACGAAAAGGGAATGAAGGTTTAGACTTTCCTGCTCCTCGATTAATCGAATGGTTGGCGCACACTTCATTGCTCGGTTATTCGTTGCCCGCCTAAAAACAACCTCAACTAATCAAATCTCTTTTCCGTCTTAACGTGATGTCAAAACCCTTTTCATAAACGAAAGATATTTCATCTTGAGACGATGTAAAATAATGTTTTGTCCACTTATATATATATGTGAGTGAGCTAAACGGCGTTTTCTCACAAATGTTAATTTGTTAATCCATATGAAAACAACCCTCGCCCACTTTTTTGGATGAAAAAGTTTAAAAGAATAATTCTTTAAAAATAATATTTTAAAAAACTTAAAAATATAATTTAAAATATTTAAAAAGATCACAAATATATTTACCCCTTCTAACATTTTATAATTCATTTCAAATTGACATACAACAAATCAATTACCCATTTTTCTTGCAACCTTGTATTATTATCTTTTTCTTCATCTATAGCATTTCATTATTTTTAGTTAATTATATAGTATTGATTAACTATCTATCTATGCATCTAATAATCCAAATAAAAAAACAAGCCATTTGAGATGCTTTACGTTAACAACACGACGGTGCTACCGACACAATTCTCACCTCTATCTTCCTCAGAGTTTGAGATAATTTAGATAATTATCTTCCACTAATGAAGCCTAGCACAAGTATTTACCTTAAACACTAGCTAATTAAATTTATTTATTAAACATATATGTCCAAATCATGTGATGCAGGCTGAAGAATGTGGTGTGACAAAATTTTGGTGGGATCGTAAGTTCTAAAGAATCTTGAAAATGATTGTTTATAGATTGAGATAAGCCTATTATAGAGTTTTGGTTCCTTGTGGTGGCTACATTTATTTATTTATTTATTATTTTTGGATGATTCTATGACTCACTTTCGTATAATTAATTTAGAGACACATTTTCATTAGTATGTCCCTTTTAAAAAAAAAAATATTAGTTCACCTTTATATTCCAATTATACAGTAATGTAGAATTTAGTCATGGATAAAAGTTCTAAAAAATTGTTATCAAATAAAATTTTATTAAGGAGATGTCTATGAAGAAAGTTGTTAGAAATGTGGAGTTACTAATTTTCTTTGCTATCAAGGGATTTAAAGAGTGAGCTTATATTTTATTTTGATTTTTATTATGGGTATCGTCAATATTAACAATACATTTATGATAATGTATATGCAACCAATAATTACTTTTATTTTTCTTAACAATCTTAAAATATTTTATTGTATTATGGAGATTTATTTGTATATTAAACACTATAAATTTAATCAATTAACTCATCTCTTATAAATACTAATGTGATAAATGAATTTATCAAATATTTTTTTTAACCAGTTAAGATTCCGTATGGGATGATCCATCTAATCTATGAAAACAAATCGGAAACTGCTGCTGGTATATGAAAAGAGAAACATGGATTCAAGGTTGTCATATGTCACTTATCAACATTCATTCAATATAGTTGAGTAGGCAACCCAAACTCAAATTTATCTTCTTCCTATTGTGATATGATCCATTAGCTGGCACCAAAAGCATATAGTACAAGCCAAATAACTAACAACTCATCTTAACCTAAATGCCACTTCATATGTCACTTACCTTAAAAATGTGTCGGTGGGTGATGTCGCTTGCAAACTTCAATCTTTTCAACAAATAAATTTTAAAAGACAAATATTCAAATAGTGAGTGTACAAATGAGATTGCAACTTTATTATATCAAAAGTTAAACGAAACGTGATAGTAATAGTATACATTATTGCCATTTTATTCAACCAATGAACCTTCCATTTTCTCTCTCTATATATGAAACATATGCATTTTTATAATTTTAGTAATAAAAAAAAAGAAATTAACAATTTCATGAAGGTGAAGTGAAGAAGAATCACATAATTGAGCACCCTGTTGCGTTTTCTTCGCTGAGGTACTGATCACAACGGCCCACATAACAAGGTCCGCTTCCGCCGTAGCTATCATAAACGGGCCTTGCATAGTATCCATCGTAATATTGAACGGGCCCACCATACTGTTGAGGGTACGCGCCACCGTATGGTACTACAGGCCTACCCTCGTAGCATGATGGGACATAACACATCCCAACCGGAACCGCCATTGGCGGTGGCATTTGTGGAATCATCTGCATAGATGCCGCCGCCGTCGCGGGCTTATCTTTGGGCTTTTCACCTTCAGACTTCTCTTTGGGCTTCTCGCCTTCGGGCTTGGGCTTGGGCTTCTCTGCATCTTTGGGTTTATCTGCATCCTTCTTTTTCTCAGGCTCAGCAGCTTTGGGCTTCTCCGCCTCTTTAGCAGGCTTGGGCTTATCGCCGTCCTTTTTCTTCTCGGGCTCGGCGGCTTTGGGCTTTTCGGCCTCCTTTTTCTTCTCGGGCTCAGCGGGCTTGGGCTTTGGCGGATCCACTATTTCAATGCTTTTGATGGAACCTCCACCTTTGTAACAAAGCTTGTCCCGTATCTTCTCAGGACTACAACACACCACCATGATCGCCACCATGTTTCCTTTTTCATCATACTTTTGGTCTCGAATTTCTGATTTTGTTCACAAAAAATAAAAAATAAATGTACTTTTTAAATTTTAAGTGCCACAAATTATAATAAATTAATAAATAAAAAATTCTATTGGTGATAAACTCACGAGGATATTTGCCGAGAAGTTTCTTAACCTTCTTGTAGCATTTTTCACACTCAAGATCAACCTTGAGTTTCATAAATGTCACCTGAATGAAAACCAAAAATTAAATTTATATAATTTTAATAAAATAATTGAATCATATGGTTATAAGAAAAATGAAAATTTTGATTGGAATTTGATAAACCTTACCTTTTCAGCCATAGTTGTGGATCAGATCTGAGGCACAATTGAAAACTGCTGAAGAAAATGCAGAGAAAAATGAAGAAAGAAAATTTAAGAAGCTATGATAAGTCTTAATACATAAACATGTAGGACCTATAAAGTTGAATTTCTTACAACAGAGTTAGAGTTTGATGAACTGAAAGGGTGTGTGTTAATAGAATATATACGCAATATTCATAGAATTTGACTCATTTGATGACTTTACAATTCAATTTATCTCTCTCTCAGCACACAATAGCATGTGCTGTCTTTTGATTTACACGCCTAACCTTATTGACTCAATGCACGTTCATGAATCCTCTATTAATAGCACTTGATTTAATGCAAATTTTGTAAAAAAATTATTTACCATTATTATAGACCATAGTACTAGTATATTAGAGTATGACAAAATCAATAATTAAAATTTTAAATATTGTATTATGACAGTTTGGTTATGTGCAATAATGATTATGCACTACCACATGGCAACCGTACACGTGGCACTAATGAGAGATCCTATAATAGTTGTAGTACATGTGAAGTGAAGTAGTAATAATGAAATATATAGACTAAAGTTGAGATTTTGGAATAAAATAATTAAGGAGGGTGAAATAGAGTAATGGCAACACTACCTAATTAGAGTAATTAATTAGTGGTAGATAGAGTGGGTGTTGGAGGGTGGTCCATAATTGTGGGCTCCAAAGAGTGTCCACATATTTCTTTCAAGTATGAATGAGTGAAAGCTTGGACATCATAAGTTTTTGAAGATTTTTAGCCATCATAGGTTTTAACCGACATAATCATAGGTTTAAACCGAATCCTAAGGTTGCAATTTGTGTAAAGTGTAAACGCGGTTTCAGTCTTGAAGGGTTTTAGAGCATAGGATTGTACTCGTAAGGTTGTATTCATAGTTTGACACTTTTCCTAAAAACACTTATCTTATCTCTTTTCATTGTCTTTGTTTCTAGTGAGAAATAATGAAAGTAGGTAGTTAAATAAGTGTCCCTTTGATAATATAGCTCACAATTATCAATTCTTTTTGTTGATAATGAATGGAAAGTTGAAAGTAAAATTGAACTCATATTTCTACTACTAATGATGAAAGGATGAATTGAATTATTCATGAATCATAGCTTTTGGATATATATATATATATATATATATATATATATATATATATATATATATATATATATATATATATATATATATATATATATATATATATATATATATATATATATATATATATATATATATATATATATATATATATATATATATATATATATATATATATATATATATATATATATATATATATATATATATATATATATATATATATATATATATATATATATATATATATATATATATATATATATATATATATATATATATATATATATATATATATATATATATATATATATATATATATATATATATATATATATATATATATATATATATATATATATATATATATATATATATATATATATTGGTTCAATGGTTAATTTAATAAATCAAAAGTAAAATCTAAATAATGTGAAGTTAATATTTAACATGAGCTTAATTTAGATTTATAGTATAACTAATTCTTTCCCTCAAGTTATAGATATTACATATTAGAGTTTGTCCTAACACTACCAAAATCGGGTGGTAAAGTGAAGGGTGTCACTCAACACTTTTTTTAGGCTTAGTGCGTGGATTTAAACGGTGGGTTGCCCCAAGGTCTGTTGTCCCAAGGTTTGATAGGACCTGATACCATATTAGAGTTTGCCCTAACACTACCTTACAAAACTGGTTGGTAAAGTGAGGAATGTTACTCTATATAAATTATTTTAATGCTCTATCTCAAACCAATACAAAACTTTAAGATCTTCCTAATATTACATAGTCTCATTTTAGATATGATAAATAAAAGTAAGAGAATGTTGGGACTTAGTAAACATATAAATAATTGGAAATTGGTTGAAACTGAAAGTAGAGGATTGAGTTTGGAGTGAAATTTTCTGCTTTATGTCATGAAAAACTAATTCAATATACTTGTTTCTTTCATGAAATTTGCGATTATGAGCAAGATATGTTTTGGATGTGCTATCATAGTATATTGAAATTGGTTGAGTAAAAGTAATATGCAAATCTTTGCAGTTTATAAGTCAATGTTATGCACTCGTAGGAGATGATCTAAAAATTGTGTTTTGTTTCTTTAACTTCCACCAAATGAGGGAAGAATCTATGACACAATACCTTATAATTAGGGGTTTGAAAAAAAATTAGTTCTCATTAACCAAATTACCATCCAATTGAAACTAATTTTTAAAATCCAGCCAAAAGCTAAAATTAAAATATATATGGTGGCCCATTTGTAAGAGAAAAAAAGAACATTCAAATAATAAGGGAATTTTTTTAATGCATCTTATATGTAATTTACGCATTATATAAAAATATTAAAATGTCTCTCAGCTTTTACAGATATATCTTCAGACGCACTCAATACACACACAACATATGTCATTTCGAGTGACGTTTTATTATTTAGTTTTTTTAATATCGAAGATGCATCTCCGATATATATCCGTAGATGCATTTCTGTAACATATGTCAAACAGTAGCAGAAGCAGAAACCAAAAACTTGTAATTTGACAAAATAAAATTAACATTCATAACATGAAATAAGTAAAACATTACACTTCAATATTCAGGTGGACACTTCAACATCTTCACATTATCTTTGACCAATTTCGAAATCGTCACTTCCAACTCGAACAAAACTTTTATTTCGAAACGAAAAATATTTATTCCACATAGCCCCTACATTTGCATCCTTCTTGAGCTCAAAGTTGTTGAACTCAATCTTCCCCGTTGTCAATCGACGGTAAACAACAGTACTCGAGCTTCATATATTTTCGATTGTCTCCGTAAGATAGGAGATAATGGATTTCATATTTAATGTCTACAAGAAAGGTGTACCCGTTGAGATTAAACTTTGCTCGGGTGTCGCGCTGGAGATGAGACATTTGCGACATACCCAATGATGTTTATTTGTGACATTTGAGACATTTTCAGCTTGTGTGAAATAAAAAACAAGACCACCTTAATTTATAGAAGTTGTAGACAAATGTGGACCATTCAAATTTTGACATGCTGACTCAGAAGATATATCTCTGGTTCCACACCCTATTATCTTGTTTCAGAGATACATCTCTGGAACCTCTCCTGAACCAGACAGAAAACAAAACCTTTGAAAACAAAACCTGCATGATGACTTTGTTTGGCAAATGAATAAATGCTTTGGTAAAGATAAAAAATGTATTAAAATATTAAGAAATTGAATATATTACACTTCATTAATATTAAGACACAATTGCATACACTTATTTGTCGGACTAAATAGAAATTTAAAATGATTCGAAAGATTTTTCGTCAGCTAAATCTATGGGTGGTACCCCCTTTTACTTTTGTGCATTTGATTCTCTTTCAATGTTGCTCAATTTCTCAAATTCTTGCATCTTTTCCACAAAATGGTCCGGCCAAGTCTCGGCTTTTGTTGTTGAATGAGTCGTTCACTAGGGTGATGTAAGTGGTATGGGGCATCTCAGTTTCAAGTAAACTTGAACAAAATATCATGATTTTGAAAGCCACACAATACACATAATACAATCATTTGGATTTTGAGGTGGAGCGATATGCAGTGGGAAAAAGGTTTCTGAAAAACTATTTCATGTAAGATTAACACACACTCTATCATACGCACATGCTATGAGGTGTCTAACCTAATCAGTTTAAGCACAAATAATTTTATCCTTCACCTGGTCATGAATTGTGCTTTCAACTTATTTCAACAAATCAGAATATTTTTCGCACACTTTCTTGAAATTCATAATGGAATCGGCATATAATTTTTTAGTGGATGAATTTACTATACGATTCCATGCATCCATTACTTTTTCCAAAAACACACCCGCATTCACCATTTTTTCATCTTCGAACTCTATATGTTCCTTACCACTGATTTAACCCAACTTCTCACATTCTTTGTTATATGATACCTGCAAAGTAATGCATAAGAAGTATGAAATGCCTTTGCAACCGAATTCATCAAGGCGGTATCGCAGTCGGTAACAATCACTTTAGACATCTCTTCTTAGTCCTTCAACATTTCTCGATACACCTCTAAGGCCCAAGTAACATTCTCCTTCTTTTCTCTCTCTAGAAATGCAAACCCAACAGAATAGGTCTTCTAAGTAAAGGTAACACCAACCATCTCCAATAATGGAAGTCTATACTTGTTTGTCTTGTATGTTGAATCAAATATGAACATATTATAAATATTTACTTGATGGAATCAAGATGATTCCAAAATATATCTCCAATGGTAACTCCATGCTCACACGTTTGGTACCTAGAGACATAATTGTTATCATCTAATAGTTTCAAGAGTTGTTGCATTTCAGTTCTATCCCCCTAAGCACCTTGTTAGTTTGGTACTGAATATTGTAAACTTGCTTGATATTTGAGATATTTTCGGTTTTTTACATTTCAAAGTTTCAAGTATATTTTTCAGTTGAACCAAATTCAATGTCATTTCAGCAACATATTCCTTCTCTTCCGTCATGAGGCGACACACAATTGGATGATCGACTAACTTTCCACATAAATCATGGTTATGTAAACCACATATGACATTAAATCTCTAGTTATTGTTTTCCAACATATAATCACACACCTTAAAGGGACACTTTCATTTTCTTGAACCTGTGTCATCTCATTTAAAATTCCGAAGAAGAGGTTTATATTTCCCGCTTCTTTCACACGCCATTGTCAAAAAAGCATATCTTTTATCCGAACCATTATCGGACCTTCTGATAATCACACCAAATACCAGTTTGGAGGCCTTCGTACGAATCCATTGAAGCATGTGATCACAAGATTCAAACTTTTGCTCATTTTTAAATTAGTTTCCAACACTGAAGGGAAATCGCGAT